GCTGACTATAATCCTTTTCAGAGATCTTAGAGGGCATGTGCTATCTTTATGCTCACCCTCCACTGTGCTTCAGAGCACCAGCATCTCCTGGAGGGAAACTTTTTACACAGCTGGTGCCTGGGTTTTGCAGCTGCCAAGCAGGGGACACCCCTTGACTGCCTAGCACTAGTAGCCTGGGAGGCTTGCATTCCTGGGTCCCACAGGACTATGACAATCGGAAAGACAGTTCTTGGTAGGCTACCACCCCAAGGGCAGAGACTGAGGCATACTCCTAGTCTTTCTATGAAGAAGGCCTTTTTCCTTTTCCTGAATCTTTGGCCTGAGGGGTAGATTTTAGGTTTGACACACACTTAGTAGCTTATAGAGCTGCTAACAAGGAACATAGGTTGTGGATGCCATATTGGTTCTCTACCTTTGCCTTGCTCCAGCTTGCTGGTTTCATTTAGAAAAAAATGTATATGCTTGTCTGGGGTCCCAGTTTCTATGACCACCAGCCAGGAGACAACTCCAGATTGTCTGGCTCTGGTGGCCAGCAGAGTTTATGCTTGAAGTCCCTTAGGACTGTATGTATTTACATACATTTAAAAGCTGATGCCTGGGGGTCTGGCTTCCAAGCAGCTTAAATCTAGATGCTAAGATCCTTCCCTTTGGGACATTGGGTGGTGGTAGCACATCCTCAACTACTGGGAGCTATTAAAAAGATAATAGGCTACTTGCCCAAGCATGAAGGTTTGAGAGACAACCAAGAAATGAAACATGATTGAATAACAAGTTTCACTTCCAGCATGAAGCCACTCCTTAAAGACTGGGAAAGGTAGTTGCTTCATTTATTGTATAGAAATTAACACAGAGAGTTGAACAAAATGAAGAAATAGAGAAATATATTTCAAATGAAAGAACAAGATAAAACTAAAAAAATAAAAACAAACCCAGAACAACTTAGTAAAATGGAAATAATTTACCTGATAAAGAGTTTAAATTAACAGTCATAAAGATGCTCACCAAATTGGAAAGAAGAATGAATGAACACAGTGGGAATGTCAGCAAAAAGATGGAAAATATAAGAAAGTATCAAATAGAAGTCACAGAGCTGAAAAATATAATAACTGAACTGAAAAATATGCTATAGGGGTTCAACAGCAGACTAGATAAAGCAGAAGAAAGAATCAGTCAATTCAAAGACAAGGCAGTGGAATTCACCTAATCAGAGCAGCAAAAAGAGAAAAGAATGAAAAAAAAAAGTGAAGATAGCCTTAGGGACTTGTGGGACAGCATCAAATGGACTAAAAGTTGCATCATAGGGCTTCCAGAAGGAGGAGAGAGAAATGGAAAGAAATCTTATTTGAAAAAATAGTGGCTGACAACTTTCCTAACCTGGAGAAGAAAACAGACATCCAGATCTAGGAAGCTCAGAGAATTCCAAATTAGAAGAACCCAAAGAAACCCACACCAAGACACATGATAATTAAAATGTCAAAAGTTAAAGACAAGAAGAAACTATTAAAAGCAAGAGAAAAACAACATGTTACATACAATGGAACCCCCATAAGAGTATCAGCAGATTTGTCAGCAGAAACTTTGCAGACCAGAGGGAGTGCCACAATATATTTCAAGTGCTGAAAGAATACTTTACCTGGCAAAGTTATCATTCAGAAATGAAGGACAGACAGAGTTTTCTAGACAAGCAAAAGCTAAAGGAGTTCATCACCATTAAAAGCAGCCTTATAGGAAATGTTAAAGAGACTTCTTTAAACTGAAAATAAAGGGTGTTAATTAGTGATAAGAACACATGAAAAATAAATCTCAATGAAAAGGTAAATATATGGTAAATACAGTGAATTAATCATTTATAAAACTAGTATGAAGGTTAAAAGACAGAAGGAGTAAAAATAACTATGATTACAATTTGGGAAGGGATACACGTAACAAAAACGTAAAATGTGACATCAAAAACATAAAACATGGGAAGTACTAATGTTGACCTTTACGATGAGATCAAACTTAAGTTGTCATCAACTTAAAATAGACTGCTATAAATATAAGTTGCTATAAGTCACCTCATGATAATCATAAAGCAAAAACCTATAAGGAACACACAAAAGATGAAAAGAAAGAAAAATAAGCATACTGTTAAAAGAAATCATCAAACCACAAAGGAACAAAGGAAGAGAGCAAGATGAGAAGAAAGAGAGAAGGAGGGACTATAAAAACAGCCAGAAAACAATTGATAAAATGGCAATAAGCACATACATATCAATAATTACTTTAAATGTAAATGGACCAAATTCTCCAATCAAAAGATATAGAGTGGCTGAATGGATTAAAAAACAAGACCTACTGGGGTGCCTGCATGGCTCAGCTGGTTAAGCATCTGACTCTTGATTTTTGCTCAGGTCATGATTTCATGGTCATGAGACTGAGCCACACATCTGGCTCCACATTCCCAGAGCAGAACCTGCTTGGGATTCTCCCTGTCTCCTCCTCTTTTTCTGCCCCTCCCTGCTTGTGCTCTCTCCCTCTCACTCTCTCTCAAAATAAATAAACTTTAAAATAAATAAATAAGATCTATCTATATGCTGCTTAAAGAGACTCACTTATTTATTTTTTAATTTTTTTTGTGTGAGTTGAGTGTGTACACACACATGTGAGCAGGGGAGGTGCTCCCTGCTCAGCACAGAGCCTGGCATGCAGCTTGATCCCACCACCCTGGGATCATGACTTGAGCCGAAATCAAGAGTCAGATGCTTAACCAACTGAAGCATCCAGGTGCCCACAGGAGACTCACTTAATGTGTAAGGACATACAGAGACTGAAAGTGAAGGGACAGAAGAAGATATGCCATGCAAATGGAAACCAAAAGAAAAGTGGAGTAGCTATACTTACATGAGACAAAACAGACTTTAAAACAAAGACCAATAAGAAACAAAGATGAGCATTACATAACGATAAAGGGGCCAATAAGAAGATATAACATTTGTAAATATGCACCCAACACAGAAGCACCTAGATATATAAAGCATATATTAACATACCTAAACAGAGAGACAGCAATACAATAATATTTGGGGACTTTAATGCATAGATCATCCAGACAGAAAATAAATATGGAAACATTGGCTTTAAATGGTACAGTAGACCAGATGGATTTAACAGATATTTATAGAACATTCCATCCAAAAGCAACAGAATATACATTCTTCTCAAGTGCACATGGAACATTTTTCAAGATAGATTGCATGCTAGGCCACGAAACAAGTCTCAAATTTAAGGGGACTGAAATCATGTCAAGCATCTTTTCCAACCACAATGGAATAAAACTAAAAATTAATTACATGAAGAAATCTGGGAAATTCACATATACGTAGGGATTAAATAATATACTGAACAACAACAGATACAAAACAACAACTTTGACAATGGGTCAAAGAAGAAATCAAAAGAGAAATAAAAAAAAATATCTTGAGACAAATGAAAATGTAACATACCAAAACTTACGCATTTTTTTAAGTTATCTATTTTGAGAGAGAGAGGGAGAGACAGAGAGAGAGGGAGAGAGAGAATCCCAAGCAAGTCCTGCACTATCAGCACAGAGCCCAACACAGGGCTTGATCCCATGAACCATGAAATCGTGACCTGAACAGAAATCAAGAGCTGACTGAGCCAACCAGGTGTCTCTGGGTGCAGTTGTAATCGGAAAGTTCATAACAATATATACCCACTTTAAGAAACAAGAAAAGTCTCAAATAAACAACCTAACTTTACACCTCAAGGAAATAAAAAAAAAAGAAGACTAAATGAAGGCCAAAGTTAGTGGAAAGAAGGAAATAAAGATCAGGGAAGAAATGAATAAAATACAAACTAAAAAAATAATGGAAAAGATCAGTGAAAGAGCTGGTTCTTTGAAAAGATAAACAAAATTGACAAATCTTTCACTAGACTCACGAAGAACTCAAAATCAGAAATGAAAGACAAGATGTTTTAACTGATATCATAGAAATACAAAGTATAAAGGAGACTACTATAAACAATTATGCACTAACAGATTGGACAATCTAGAAGAAATGGATAAATTCCTAGAAGCATACAACCTACCAACACTGAATCGTGATAAAATAGAAAATCTAAACAGACCAATTACTAGTAAGGATATTGAATCAATAATCAAAAACCTCCCAACTAACAAAAGTCCAAGATCAAAAGCATGCATGAATTCTGCATTGATGAATTCATTCTTCACTGATGAATTCTACCAGACATTCAAAGAATGAACACCAATCCTTCTCAAACTCTTTCAAAAATTGAAGAGGTGGGTCAATATTTTATCATTCCCATGTCATTCTTCTGGTGAGGCAAGTGTGGGAGGAAATGAACTACTGAAGGATATCTATTCTTTTTCCTCAGTGTTGATGCATAAGATGCAGAAAATCCCAATAGGAATTAGGAAAAGGAGAAATTAAAGTTTTAGATAATTCTGAATCCAAACAGCCAAGAGAAATAAAGGTATTTCAGAGATACCAATAAGCAGTTTAAGTTACCAAACTATGTTTTATTATGTGGTAGCTGGAGGACAGATGGGATACTTTAAAGCAGTGGTTTCCAACACTGACTGCATGTTAGAATCATTTTGGAGCAGCTAAAGGCATGCAGATGCCCAGACACAGACAATCAGAAAGTTTGCTGTGAGGCTGAGGAGTTAGAGCCCACTCAAGGGTAGTTTAGAAACATTTCCCAGGTGATCCTGATACTCTGCCAGGGTGGAGAAGCACAACTTTGCTGAGACAGAAGAACGTAAGCATTCCCGGAAAAGTGCTCGTGCCGGGTGAAGTAACACAGGTAAGCTTTCAGGAAAGCAAATGCACTCAATGTAGCATTTGCAATAACTAAAGAATTAATCATCCTCTGCCTCTAGTTCACTAGGAGTGTAGGAAGCTGCACATCCCCTCCTCTGAGGGCAATGTTTGGTTTGCCAGGACATCTCAAGGTCTAAGAGCATAAGTGATTCCTAATTAGCAGCATCAGAACTATTGAGAATGGGGAGTCAACGAAGTGGCCTGACCGCTAACATGTGGCTTAGCTCGGTGAAGTCTGATGAGGCCACAAGACAAACTGAAAGTTGAATGAGAACAGCCAATTCATCTATAATAAGAAAAACCATTTACATTTGTGAAATGCCCTGATCTTTACAAAGCACATTTAGTCACTGGCAGCAAGGCACTATGGGATACACAACTAAATCAGATGGGGTCCAACCCTCACTGAACCAAGTATGCAGGTGAGAGCATGAGATATCTATGCACAACTGTTTATAATAAATCAGAAGTCTCAGTGCCAACCGAAAATGAAACAACATAGTAGTTTGGAATTTGTTGTGGGCAGCAGAGCAGGGAACCATTTAAGACTTTTCAAATGGCAGTGCTGTGTTCAGAGTTTCTGATAGCAGGGATTAAAGAGATAGTTTTAAAATAAATTCAGTTTGGAGACTGCAACAATAGCATAAGACAGAAGACCTTTCTAATTTATAAAATCATGTGAACTCTCAGCAGCCCTAGTCACAGGTAGTCAAGTATCAACAGCCTCATCAAAAGGGGACAAAATCAGTTAATTGAGGCAAAATGAGGTCAGTTGACTTGCTTAGACATGATGGACATGTCTGTAATTAAAGGCAGAGTGGAGATTTTTTTGCCTAGTGTAGTTGCCTGAAAAACAGTCACCGGAAGAACAAGTCACTTATAGTGATCGGTTCAGCATCCTTACCTCACTCAGATGTGTCTTCAGTTCCTGTACTTTTCTGTATTCTGGAGTGTCAAGAACCACTTTGTATTTGTCTCGCATCTTCCTTGCTTTATCGGTGTACAGGTAATTAGACTTAGAGAAAAAAAAACAATGGAAATACAAGTTAATTAGTCATTTAAGGAACTGCGTGTCGTGGTCATATAATTCTCTCTCAAATGCTGGTATGTGCAATGTGAGCAGGCCTTCCACGTGTCCTGGATGTCTTCCCGGGGAAGGAACAAAGACAACTGTCATTTAATTGAGTTCATCACCTCTTACACATGGCATCTTAAGTGGGTCATGACTTATTCAAATTGGTTAATGGTAAATTTACCCTTAAAAGTAGCTGCAGGCAAAGAGTCTTTCTGTCTAGGACCTTGAGGCTGGTAATGAGACATATGGAGGCTGTCCAGGGGTAGCCGTGTGTTGTGAAGATGTGCACTCACCCAGAGCTTGCGCAGGTGCCTGGAGCGGACCATGTCGGGAGTGTCATACAAGAAGCAGCCCAGTCCCTTGAGAATCTGCAAGTCCTCTTTATATTTAATCTGTGTCACAGAAACAGAAATATAGCAGGCTGTGAGTAAATGTAAACCAGGAACAAAGAAGATATAGTGACACTTTTTATATTGATATATCTTTCATTTTGGTTGAATGCATCTACCTGGTTGAAAACTCTCAGTTTGCGTGCACCCAAATGAATCACAGGTTTTAAAATTTAATCTCTAATTCTGAGCTGAGGAGAGAATGGAGTATTATGTTATTATTATATTGATGGGAGAAAAGCATAGGCTGAATGGAGTGGCCTTTTAGGAGAAGGAAACATTTAAGGAGAAAAAAAATGGTAGAAGGAAGTTGCTAAAAAGGGTGAGAGTGGGGATGAGCAGGAGAAAGATAATATAAACAGGACCTAGGATCAGAGGTCATGTATGGTGAGGAGCTGGTAATGATTCAGTGTTGAATGCAGAATGGTGGTCAGCAATTTTTGTCATTCTCATGTGTTCCTCTTACTACTGTTTTCATAGCTGGAGAAATGTGTGGTCCTACTTCTACACAATTTCGCCTCCAAGTTGTATATTCAGTTTAGAAGTATTCAGTGCAGAAGGCTGTTCAAAGACCAGTGGTGGCTTAAATGCAGACAGCCTCTTGGTAAGAGCCTGTCAGAAAGATCCCTAGGAGATGCTTACATCACTGGTGATGTCTCCCACGTAGCGGCAATGGATCACTTGGGGTGTGTATGGCAGTGAGATCATGTGGCCTTGCATCTTGAAGAAGTCTGATTTGTAGATCAACTAAAGAAAAACATACCCAGAAACACACATCAGAGACTGAATGGTTGACATTCCTGCCTGGGTTCCACAGCCTTTCCTCTCTCCTAAGAAAATACCCACCTCACTAACAGCCTCTTGTGTCTTCTTGACTTGGCGGATCTCAGGTGTGTCAGGAGTTGTATGAATCTTGTCTTTCAGTTTATGGTACAATTGTCGATACAGTCTCTACATTGGAGGAAAAACCATTCCAGTTATTTAGTGGAGGAAGATGAGGGCAGCCATTGACTAATCAGCAAATATTTTACATAAAGAGCCATGAGAAGGGTGATTAAGGACACAAAAAAGTGATCGGGATTAGGAAAAAAGAGAAAATGGTATTTATCTTATTTAGGTGAAGAATTTTGACCACCAAACCTTCCACATTCTATCAGATGATTGGATAGGATCAGATATACAAACCAATCATTTGTGTAGAAAACCAGGGTCATGAGTCAGACTAAAATGCAAATTTATTAAAGTTTTTTGTATATAAATGTCAAAAAAGGAATTAATTTGCATTATAATCTATAAATTGGATCTGTACAATGGCATCAGCAAATATAGAAAAATGTTGCCAATGGATACCAGTATCAAAATGGTAACTAAAAGGGCTCTCTTACTCCTTGCTGATGTGTGAATTTATAGCTAAAATATAAATAACTTTTAATGCATTTCAAACAAAGCCATGGTCTTTGAAACTCAGTCTTTGCCCAACAGAATCCGCATTCACAGTACCTCACTGGTAACATTGTTGGCCCTCCGGACATGGACAAATGGAACGTCATTGGGACCAAGTGTATATCCGTTTGCCTTGATGTGTTCATAAACTTCTTTGTACTTGAACTGCAAAAGCAAAGTCAGAATGAGTTCACAGATGGGTAAGCACAGAGTAGCTTTATACTTCTCAAATAGAAAAGAGCTGTCACTTTCATTTGAAAATTACTCTCTAAGCATTAAGTATAAGGAAAAGTCCTTGACAAAATTTCTATAGTAATTTGAGTCTTGAAAATTATTTTGTTTGCTAATAAAGCCAGGTCCAGAAAGGAATAAAATTCAGTGTTGCCTAGATAGATCTGTTTATAGGCAGGAAAGAAAAATACAAGAAAAAACCCTGTATTTTTAGCCCTAGTACAGCTAGGGAATTAGAAAATGCAAAGAAGACATAAGAGACTACTTTTAAGACTGATGAATGGCCTTACAGACTGATTTAAAAAAATGACATGTTAGATTATTCAGTCTGTGACTCTGCTTTGGAAACCATATTTTTGGGCCCCTGGCTATTGGACCCTACCTGGCCAGCAAGTTTGATTCCCAGGACTCTAAAGGGCAACATGGAAGAGATGGCGTATTCTTCGACTGATGGTTGATTTGTGTATATGGTATGCAGGCCAGAGTCACAGACATAGTAACACTTCCCTAGGCTTTTCCATAGGGTAAATGCATCCCATTCCAATATGGAACTTTTAATTCCAGGGAAGGTTAGTGTCAGTGACATGTGGGCAAGCTACAAGTGGTGAGAGCCTATTTACCCCTCTGAGCTTTTTTTTTAAGCGAGCACAGAAGGTAAGCAGTGGGGCAAGTATCAGAGCCAGCAGCAAGGCAAGAAGTCCTTTCTTTTTCAAAGGAATACACAGTGATGTTGTATCTTGAAGGTAATACTGTTGCCACACATCAGCAGTGCATGTACGAACTTCCATTACTGGTATATGGCTTGGAATAGTTCAGGATTCTTCTGTGCTAAAGCCAACAGAAGCAGACGTATCCTAACAGCCATAAACCATAAGCTGAAGTAACTGACTCATGCAGATGCAATCCCACAAAAGCCCTATGCTAACCCACTGGGTTACACAGATACTGCTAAAGCAGGAGCAAGCCAATTCCATAGCAACCCTAGAAAACACACTGTCTCCCCTTCTCTAGTCCCATCATTATATCACGTTGAGCATCCAGAGTATGACTAAGGGCATTAGGTAGGCTATTAATGAATATTAGTGCTCCCACCACCTTCAGACCCCATCTTAATGAGGAGACCACTCACATAACTGCTCATATATCGGGTGTCCTTGATGTGTTTGAAGTGAGAGGTGTCCACAGGAAGCCTATATCCAGTAGGCAGGGTGCGCCGGCCAGCTCCTCGGTATAGACCCTGCAGGAATGAGGAAGAGTAGGTAAATGACATCTACATCAAATAACTGATCTAAGTTAAACAAGTCACATGCAGTACACAATAGATTTTCAATTAGATACTTAATGTTCTTACGATCACCAAACTGATTTCAGGAAGAAATTAAGTAAAGTTCTAAGAGTCAGGCAATGAATTAAGTTACTCTTAACTTTTGCTTTTGAAAAGAAGAGTGATGAGTGAAGGGGCTTATAGAAAATAATAATTCTCTGTTTTTGAATTTATGCCCCATTAGTTGCATGACAATCTAGCAAGAAAATAGGAAAAGTAGAGAAAACAGGCAGTCAGTGCTGCCTCTGTCATTAACCCCACTCTTAGATGCTATTCATATCACCAGCAATCCCTGAGACAGTCATAATTATAAGGCACATCTTTGGAATCCCATCCCCACCATAAACGTGGCATCTTGAAGTCAGGCTGTGAAGAGGTCAAGATACTCCTATCCCTAGTAGAAAAGGGAAAGGAGTTTCTCTGACTGTGACCTTTTAAATAGTCTGTCTTGGGGTGCCTGGGTGGCTCAGTAGGTTGAACATCCTATTCTTGGTTTTGGCTCAGGTCATGATCCTAGGGTTGTGGGATTGAGCCCTACATCAGGCTCTGTACTGAGTGTGGAGTCTGCTTGAAATTCTCTCTCTCTCTCTCTCTCTCTCTCTCCCTCTGCCCCTCTACCCCTCTATCCCGCTTATGCTCACTCTCTAATAAAAACTATAAATAAATAAAAATAAATAAATAAATACACAAGTCTGTCTTTAAAGGGAGCTACAGGAGTAGGAACAGTGTTTGAAATGTTAAAAACTAAATTACTTTTAACATTCAATATAGGAGAGTAACATTAAAGGGTGAGACAAACGTAGCATCACACCAGGTAATACAGAATAGGGATATTAAATACATGAGTGGAATCCAGTTTCTCTTCTGAATTCCAACAGCAATTTCTAGCTCTAGCTCTTAAGTGAAGTCTTTTATGATTATGTGCCTTGCCTTCGTCACCTTGGTTTTAAGTTTTTTAGGCAGAGAGAGTAAGTTGGCTTTCTTCATTGTATCTTGTAAATATTGCTCCAGAAAGTACCCCTTGCTTGCTTGGTATAAGGACCTTGCCAGCCAAGAGGAAGACAGACTATGTACTATTTTGGTTTTTTCTTTGTTTTGCTTTTTAACTCATGTGAATGGAACAGCATTTATAAATGACAAGGTCAGGCTGAGATATATGCCCAAGCCTTCTAGATACATGCCCAAGTGGCTTCTAGAGAGGCCAGTGGCCTGGCCCTCTGGGTTGCATCTTGGACTTCTGCTGGGCCCTGTATTGGGTTCTAACTACTCACCTCACTCTGGAGCTTGTATGCATGGAGGGCCCGATCCAGATCCACAGTTTTCGTTGTTGGAGCCACTTTGCCTCTGACACTGTGCACATAGTCATGGTGGTAAACAGCCTGTGTGCAGAGAGGAGAAGGGTCAGCTGATTCAGACTGCAGCAGCCTTGTTGAAAAGAAGTAAATGGAAACCCAAGTCTCTCTTAAAAAATGAGAAAAAGCTAGCCTGCTTCCCTTTGCCTAGGGGACTCTATCTGATCTATTATTGTGTCTTATTAATAGGATCACAACCAGTGTGTGCTCCCCACACTGAGAGAGAAGTAGAACAGATGGCTCAGGCTTAGGAAGAGGAAGAGTGGGTATTTTACCACTATAAGTTTCAAAATAATAGGGTTTTTTTCCCTTTGCATTTTTTCTTTTTCTTTCTTTTTTAAATTTAAATCCAAGTTAGTTAACATATAGTGCAATAATGATTTCAGGAGTAGAATTTAGTGATTCATCACTTATATATAACACCCAGTGCTCATCCCAACAAGTGCCCTCCTTAATGCCCATCGCCCATTTAGCCCATCCCTCCACCCAACGCCCCTCCAGCAACCCTCAGTTTGTTCTCTGTGTTTAAGAGTCTCTTATAACTTGCCTCCATCTCTGTTTTTATCTTATTTTTGCCTTCCTTCCTCTATGTTCACCTGTTTTGTTTCCTAAATCCCACATTTGAGTGAAATCTTATGATATTTCTCTTTCTCTGACTTATTTTGTTTAGCATAATACATTCTAGTGCCATCTCCATTGTTGTAAATGGCAAGATTTCATTCTCTTTGATCACTGAGTCATATTACATTGTATATATGTACTACATATTCTTTACCCATTCATTAGTTGATAGACATTTGGGCTCTTTCCATAATTTGGTTATTGTTAATAGTGCTGCTATAAACATTGGGGTACATCTGCCCCTATGAATCAGCACTCCTGTATCCTTTGGATAAATACCTAGTAGTGCAATTGCTGGATCATAGGATGGTTCTATTTTTAATTTTTTGAGGAACCTCCACACTGTTTTCCAGAGTGGCTGCACCAGTTTGCATTCCCACCAACAGCGCAAAAGAGATCCTCTCTTTCCACATACTCGCCAACATCTTATGTTTCCTGAGTTGTTAATGTTAGCCATTCTGACAGGTGTGAGGGAGTCAAAAGAATAGGTTTTAACATTCTAACTCACTGGTGGGATTTGACATTTACTTATTGACCTGGGAGGTTAGTTGAAGATAAGAAAGAACAGCTTTGTGCTGGGTTCATCTGCTGTTTTTCAGGCGTAATGGATATACGTGGTGTACCCATAAGGATGCCTAGGCTCAGAGGGATTAGGGCTTTTCCCAAGCCTCACGAAGGATGTGTGGTAGTGACTGTCCACATCTCTGACTTCAGAGTTTTCTCCCTCCTCACCCTAGTGTCATTTGCTCTAATTTATTAGAATTCTTAGACAGTGAGACAGAGCTGTTGCTCTTGACACAAGGATACAAGAAGCAACTTCGGACACTCTAAAACACCAAGTATTTAGTAGACTTAGATCCCTTACAACTCCTCACTGGGAACTGATTGAACACATCAGGTTTCAGAGAACAAGAGCAGAGCTGTAAGTACTTTCTAAGGTACTAACTCTGGTTTCCCAGTTAGAAAAGACCACTTTTTTTTTTTTTTTTGCCACTTCTGCTTGAGTGGCAGTCTGTCTTTACTACTGTCCACACTACTTCCCCATGCACCTACATCACTTAGTTGTTTCCCACTTTTGACAGCCTGCACGTAGAGTGGAGTATCAGTGACCAACTTGTAGTCATTCCTCGTCTTCTGCGCATGAGCTTTGTACTTGATCTGTCAAGAGAAGAAAATAAACCTGTGTTAGACCATTCACTGTATCAGAAATTGCTGGTTTTCACAGAGGGTTTGATTGCTTTTAACTTTTTTCCCCCAAGTTTATTTATTTTGAGCAAGCGAGAGAGAGAGAGAGAGAGAGAGAGAGAGAGCACAAGTTGGGGAGGGGTGGAGAGAGAGGGAGAGAGAAAGAATCCCAAGGAGACTCCACACTGTCAGTGCAGAGCCTGATGTGGGGCTCGAACTCACAAACCACAAGATCATGACCTGAGCAGAAGTTGGACACTTAAATGACTGAGCCACCCAGGTGCCCCAATGTTTAATTTCATTAGCACTTATTCAACTGACCAGGATGCATTTGAATTTTATGACAGTCTGTGTAATCAATGTTTATAGTCCTATAGAGCTTCCAGAGCCTTCTAGCAGGCTTGACAGCTGCTCTTCTAGGAACATTGGAGCTTTTTAACTAAAATCTTGATTACACTGTTAATTTGCCTAGCAAATCCTCTTTTTATAAATAGATCCTGTCTATAGCACCACAAACTCCTAACAAATGAGATTTTCCTAATATGCAAATCATGTGCTCAGTATTTGAAATAGTCCAAATGTAGAGAGAAGAAAAGAGCCAGGGGTCCCTTCTCCACAAGAAGACAGTGGGACAGCTTGACTGCAGTGTTTCATTGGAAAGCTACAGGCATTCCTGTGCAATGGCCATTCTCTGCTCCTTAGCATCTTTCTCCAGCTCAGCCATCCTCAACACCACTTACGACATAGCTGGTCTGTGACAATGTCCATAACTCTCCCCCGACTTATACTATGTAGAAAAGGAAACATACTTTAAAAAAAAAGCCAAAAAACAAAAAAAAAAAAACAAGGCAAACTCACATCATTACGTAGATCATAAGCATGTTTGGCATGAAGAATTTCAGGAGTGTCCCAGATGTAGCAGCCAATGCCTTTTAGCCAGTTGAGGTCATCTTTGTATACAATCTAAAGGATTGCAGCAGACAGAAGGAATCAGACCAAAAAAAAAAAAAAAAAAAAAAAAAAAAAAAAAAAAAAAAACCTGATCATAACTTTAACACCCTCTGGACCCAGGATGACTTTATGGAGTGACAATCAAAAGGCATTACGCTGTGAGGCTGAGGGTACCATGGAAACATGGGCACACAGAGCCCTGCTTCCAGGGACAGACCCATAGGTATGTAGGAAAGCGATAGTGGAAGAAGGCTGAGGGGAAGCAACAGGGAGTCTGCTTCTCCTCAGGATGGGATGTGGAGCCAGGGAAGGGGACCTTCATAAGCAATGGGCTTACGTCGCTGATCTGATCTGTGACTTTTCTGACGTGGCTGTTGACTTGCAAGTCAGGGTGGCAAATCCACTCATGGAGGTGTAGGCGGTAATCAATCTCACTGACTTTCTTCTGAGAATCCTTAGCAGTAACCATCTCCACCATGTCAGGCACGATGTGGATTTTCATCTTGTTCTTTTCATAAACTGATTTGTATAGGCGCTATGAAGATAAAATAACATGCCAATTATACGGGAAATTGTGCAAGGTATCCTGGCAATATGTGCCTTTCTTATATACCAGAGAAGTCAGGGTAACCAACTTACAGCAATCAGATGGGATCTGGAATTTTCTGACACTTCCTACAGATCCATGGGGGTGGGGGAAGCAGAAATAACACTTCCCTTCTTCACATATGCACAGTCAGTGCCATGTGCATTAATAGGAAATGTTCTGATCTATGATAGATGGCTATATTACTTGGCTTTGATTTGAAGGAAGGTCTTTGGGATTACTTACATCAATGTTAAACTTGCCGACTCTGAGACACCGTGCTGTATTTGGATCATCTTCGACGCTTTTTGGTAAAGTATAAAGAGCTTTGAATTTTTCATATTCTTCTCGATATTTGATCTACAGAGAGAAAGTACAAAGGGAGAAAAAGTTTTGGAGAGTAATGGATTTATATTGCTAAAGAGTACGGGACATAATAGGAAGGGCCCAACCCTGAGATCCAGCCAACGTGGGGTCACCACTTCTCTGGGCTCGTCTCCTCATCTTTGCATAGAGGTGGACATACAGCACTAGTGCCTGCCACAGGGTGACCCTGAGAATTACATAAAACTATACCTGACAGTACTCTGTAAACTGCAGAGAGGTATAAACTTTTAGTTACTGTTTTAAAAATGCCCATACCGGGATGCTTGGGTGGCTCAGTTGGTTAAGTGTCTGACTCTTGATTTCAGCTGAGGCCATGATCTCATGGTTTGTGAGTTCAGGCACCATGTCGGGCTCTGCTCTGACAGCACAGGGACTGCTTGGGATTCTCTCTCTTTCTCTCTCTCTGCCCCTCCCCCACTCACATGCATGCATGCACATGTGCTCTCTCTCTCAAAATGAGTAAACGTCAAAAAAAAATAAAATAAAATATAAAAATGCCTGTACCAATACTTCTGCTACTACAATTAATTCATTTTAAAGATTATGTAATTTTTAAATAATCTCTTTCATGATACTTGGATTTTCTCAACCATGAATGAAAGATGAAAAATGTGCTCAGTTCTTTGTTTTTAGTAATTGACAAGCCTGATGCTTAAGAGACATAGTCCTTGAATTTCAGTTTTTATGAGGTTTCCCAAAAATACACTGTAACCAGTTTCTATGGGAAAACCAACTTTTAATTCTTAAGACATATTGCCTATGAATTAATGCTCCATGATTACATGAACTAGGAGGTAAGGCCCTTACAGAAATGAAGATCCAATCTCCTAGCACATGATAAAATTTCTCTCATAAATCAAAGGCCCACAACTTAGTAAAACAAAAACAAAAACAAAACAAAAAAAGGAAGATGGATTATTTGTGTAAGAATTGCAGTGAAGCCCTTTGCTGACTGGAAACCAACAAAAATTCCCAACAGAATTTTCCAGAACATTAATTCACATGCTTCTTACATCTAAACCATTCCTCAGTTATAAAGAAGATAGTATTCAAAGGCACCTTTTTTTTTTTTTAAGCTACTGTTGAAATCTTTCTTTTAAGGGATTAATTTCTCTGTGTCCCACCTTGTTCCAAAAACAAGTTGCTGAAAATTCTGCTTCTATAACTTTTTTTATGACTAAAGGAGCAAATATCTGCTGAGCTTTTCAGTTCTATCTACAAAACCTCTCTTTCTAAATGAAGTTTGCTCCTTTGGGTTAGTCTGTTTGCAGTCTTCCAAACAGACTTGGGTCTGAGAAAATCACATATATTCGTTTTTCTTTCAGGTAAAAATTAAATTCCATATATTATCTAACAAAGTCCTTTCCTAATTACACATCTCTAGGTCCCATGAGAAGGTAGTGAAATCAATTTACTGGGTCATTAGCACTTAAATGAATAGAACAGAATCGAAATGATCAGAGTGCATTGTTTTTAGTGTAGCAATATGCTCTCTTCTGTAAAATATTTGTGTCAGAAGGAACTCATGTAAACTTCAGGTGTGTGTGTGTCTGTGTGTGTGCACACGTGTGTGTATGTATTTGCATGCTGGCTTACAATATCAAATCAATTTCTCACTGTGGGTCATGGTAAAAAAAAAGGTATGAGAAATAATGATCTAAAATGCTATGTACAATGTTCACAATTAAGTGGTAAAAGTCTCTAGAAGAGGCTTACTTAAGTTTTAAGAACACTTTAGGCATAAAGGGTTCAAAAGACTAAAGATCTAAATAGATCATGTAATTTAGGATTATCTTTTACAATATACATAACATACAACATAATCCATATGACACAACCAGAAAGATTCTAGGAGCAGAGAACTGCTCCTAGGGGAAGGCAGATGGTGGGGGGAAGGCTATCACATTTGTATTTGACTTACATTGCTGGCCAGATGCTTCTGGTTCTTGGCATGTGTCAGGGACATAGTGCTGGTAGGCAGGATATAGCTGGTGGCTTTCACTCTATCCCAGGCCTCCTTGTACAGGTTCTGTAGGGGTTAAAAATCATCTTGTGAATACAGAAAGATGCATTCTTGTTGGCTCTTGAGGAGGGGATCTTTCCTGTATTTGTCCTTCTCAGAGACTCCTTACCAACCTCTAGATCTTCACCTTCAGTAGGATCCACGTACCCCTACATGAATAACAGGTCTAATGCCATGACTATAATTTCACAGTCCATTATTTTGTTCTCTACCATAGTACTTATCACAGTTTGGCAGTTATCATGGGGTGATAAAGAACTTTTCTATATCTTGAATGCAGTGGTGGACACGTGACTATGCATTTGTAAAGCGATAGTATTATACACCACAAAGAGTGAAATTTACTCTATATAAATTAAAACAAAATTTTTGATGTTATATTCATTCTCCATCGGTCTAGGAATTCCTGGAGGATGAAAACCATTAACTTAAAATCTATTTATCCTTTCCTACTTTTTGGTAGCTGAGAGCCCCCAAAATATTTCCACTCCTAGGTATTTATTCACTCAAGGGAAATAAAAACTTACCTCTACACAAAAACCTATACACAAATGTATACAGCAGCTTTATTCACAATTGTTAAAAACTAGAAAGAACTCAGATGTCCTTTAAGCCTGGACGGATAAACAAATTGTGGTACATCCATGGAATGGTATTAAAAGAATAAACTACCAGTTTATATAGCAATGTGTGTAGTACATAAATGCATTTTGCTAAGAGAAAGAAGCCAGACCTGATGGCTACATAATTCTTAATTCCATTTACATAACATTCTGCAAAAAGGTTAAAAAAATTTTTTTTCTTTTAACAAGTGCAGAAAATGCCTCTGTGGATGTCAAGGGAGAAAAGAGGGGAAGCAAGAGGGAAATTTTGAGGTGATAGAGAAGTTTTCTGTATCTTGACTGTGGTGGCGAATACAAGACTCCGTGCCTTGCTAAAAGCCATAGTACTACATACCACAAAGGGTAATTTACAGTATGTAAATTAAAACACAGAAGCAACCAGAATGGGGGACAGGACTAAATTAGGGTAAAAACTCTAACAAATAAGTCTAATTGTGTTACAAATGTGTAACAAACTACACTGGAGGAAGTGAGAAAGAAAACTAATTTATTTTGGAAAATGGTATTTTGTCTGTAACCAAAATAACCACACAAAATACTGCACTCTAGTTATTAAATTTGTTTCCCACAGGAATATGAGTTAGCAGTTGTGAAAACGTTTTATGTGCCTGTAAGAGTTGAACAAATAAGTACATGTATTGTAGGTGATGAGAGTTGGGCTTTCTGGAAAAATTAAAAAAAAGACAAACACAAGTTGGAAAAATAAGAAAAGGTAGAAGGCTAGAATGAACTCTGTGGTGTAGAGTTATATTGGAGACATCAGTAGGAACTCATGTTTTAAAACACAGATATGGTTAGGTAAGTATAGAATACAGATATGTATGCATATGTGGGTTAGTATACATATATTTCTAAGCTCTGTCCCCATAGGAGTCCTAGTAGCAAATGAGCACACCTAGTATTTTGATCTTGGTTTTGAAATGCCATTCTCTAATAAATAAACTAGGGCTCCTTAGAGAGGTGGGTCTAGAACAGGGGAAATACAAGATGAGCATGTTGTGGTGCCAGAAAGTAAGGAAGTGCTGGAAAACAATGATGGAGTATGTCAAGGCCTTATAGGAGACACCTTGAAAGAGCCCCCAGTGGTCAAAGGTAAAATAATTAGAGCAAGAAAATAAATAACATTATAGACTACATCCTATGGAATAAAATAAATATCCATGAGTCCATACTGATACAAATAAAAGAAACAAATGGTAGGAAGGAAGAGTTGTTTCTTACAGAATTCCAACTAATAAATGTAGAAAGGATGAAGGAAACAGAAAATCACTAACAGGCATATTCCATAGCAATAATTGTTTCAGGCAAGATCCATCAATAGATACTAAAATATGTGAGAGAAAGTTTGAGGAAAAACAGGATATGTGCATAGTTCCAAGTATCTCCTCCATGATATTTCTTCATAACAAAGGGGAAAAGAGTAACCTTACAGTGGAAAAGCTCAGCAGACAGTGACCTAGCCAAGTTACCAAGGTCAACATCACCAGTTATTGATGTCATGTGCCACCTGCCATGATGCACTGAGAGAAGCACATCACTTTTGTGTTATGCTCGCCAGAACTGCACATTATTGATCTAATCATAAGTCATCATGTAAAACCAAATTGAGGGACATTCTACAAAATAACTGGTCAGTATTCTTCAAAAGCGTCACAATCAGAAAAAGACAAGGACGAACTGAGAAATGATCAGATTGGAGGAGGCTAAAGAGTCACGACAACTAAATGCAATGTGGGATGATGGACTGGCATCTGAAACAGAAAAGCACACTAGTGGGAAAACCCTGGTGAAAAGTGGATGAAGTCTGTAATCAACACTGCAACAATGTTAATATTTTAGTTTTGATAATTGTATTACAGAGAAAAATATGCTGGAATTCTCTGTACTATTTGTGCAACTTTTTTGTAAATCTAAAATTATTTCAAAATGAAGTTTGGGGACGCTTGGGTGGCTCAGTTGGTTGAGAGTCCGGCTTCGGCTCAGGTCATGATCTCACGGTCAGTGAGTTCGAGCCCTGCGTCGGGCTCTGTGTTGGCAGCTCAGAGCCTGGAGCCTGCTTCGGATTCTGTGTCCCCCTCTCTCTCTGCCCCTCCCCCACTCATGCTCTGTCTCTCTCTGTCTCAGAAATAAACATTAAAAAATTTTTTTTTTTTTGGGGCGCCTGGGTGGCGCAGTCGGTTAAGCGTCCGACTTCAGCCAGGTCACGATCTCATGGTCCGTGAGTTCGAGCCCCGCATCGGGCTCTGGGCTGATGGCTCAGAGCCTGGAGCCTGTTTCCGATTCTGTGTCTCCCTCTCTCTCTGCCCCTCCCCCGTTCATGCTCTGTCTCTGTCTGTCCCATAAATAAATAAAAACGTTGAAAAAAAAAAAATTAAAAAAAAAAATTTTTTTTTTTTTAAATGAAGTTTAAAAAATGCTTGTTGAATTAACCAGTTCAGGGGAGGAAAAAGAATATGTTTGCAGGCTGTAAGCCACTGGCCACCAGAGAAGTCAGGGAAGGACAAGTCCAGGGTCAATGTAGCATAACTTGAACTGCACTTGCCTGCAATAAGGAAGGAGCTCCTAAATTTGTGTCAACTGCATGAAATGGTGCAATATTTAAAGTGGGGCTTATTTAATTGTAACTAGGACTACTGATGAGATAGAGTAGGAATTTGAAGGTTCATGAAAAAAAACTGGAAAAACTTTTGGGGGTAAGGTGTCTATCCCAACTATTCCCTTATTGTCTCTAAAGGAGAAAAAGAGAACTCAAATACAAAGATGAGAAAAAGAACTCACACTGCTATAAAGATTCTTCAGGTTCTTGGTTCTGTCGTAATCCACTGTTTCTAGAACTGTTGTATATTTGTCCTTAATCTGATGATAATTTTCTTTATATTTCACCTACACACAAAAAAGATGAGTTATTCTTTTCTGCTGTTTGAAAATACATAAAGACAGTAATGGCTTGTCCTGGAAGAGTAGTACAAGGAAGACGCACCTCACTGGCATTAATGCCGCTTTGAAGGGCAGTCATGTAAAGTGGTGTATCTGTGACCAGGTTATAATTCTGTAGATTATCTTTACCTGCTGCCGTGTATTGTAGCTGTAAAGAAAAACAAGTGAGCAGAAATGGTAAAATTTCAGCATTCACAGTTTGTGCCAATTTAGATGAGCCTTTATTTCTGGGTTTCTGCTTTCATACTAACATAGAGGCTGTCATTCTATATTCCTGCCAACATCATTTGGCTGTCAAAACTAATAGTTTGTCTTCACCAACAGTGGAGTTTGGCTCTTTGCCAGGTCCTCTTCTTTTTGCCTTTTCCATGCATGTACCCCAACCCTGACTACAGTCCCACAGCCTCGACCTTCCATTAACCTGCCCTATCAGAGCCCAAACATATGCTGGACAATTTTCCAGATACCTACTTTTTACTTCAGAACTTATCTACTTAAGGTCAAAGCATGCATTTGCATCTTACTCTCTGCAAGTTAACCTCATCAACTTCAGGACAGATGCTTGAGAGTTAGTTCACTAGGAAACACCTCCCAGGTAACTTTTTCTTATAAACATCAAATGCTTAAGCCACAGGAGATACTAAAACTGAGAAGGTCCAACACAAGAGGAGGTCACCAGGAGAGGTTCTACTGGGCAGGGATCCTTTGGTTTCCTTGGATCATGCACTGTTAAAGCAGATTTCTCCGCCTGGGCACAGGGATGGCCTAGTTGTCACCCACGGAGAGCATTACAAAGTCCACGGATTCAGAGTGAGCCAGTCCTTCTAGGAAGATGCGCGCACCTGACTCTGGAGATCATAGGCTTTCTTGGCATGGAGGATCTGAGGTGTATCCCAAACGTAGCATCCAATGCCTTTCAGCCAGTTCAAGTCATCCTTATACACATTCTGCAAGAAAGAAGGGGTGATGAAAAGTGGCAAGTGCTAACTGAACTTAGAATTGCATTTTGATAATTTCCTATCAGCTGTTGGCTGTGCTCAGTGGTCATAGAGTGGGCCTCTCAACAGCTGGAGGTCGTTAATGCCCCGACCTAAAGAAACTCAGGAGGAGAGCAACAGCTAAATCAAATCTGGTATAAAAACAGATTAAATATCTAACATAGGTGTCACAGGACTCAGAGGGGACTCTTACACCAAAAAGTGGTTACCTGTGCCACCATGTTTAAAAAAAAAAAACCAGCCATAATACAGGGACAATTAGAGCATTGAAGGCCTAGGCAGGGTTGGGTGAAGCCTGTAACCAAGTCAAGCTTCAGAAAGGACATCATACATCACTCAAGATCTCTTGGGCATTTCGGGCCCGTATAACGTTGGGTTCCTCCGGAAGAGATGTCCACTGGTGGAAGTAGTGTCGATACTCCAGGTCACTGAGGATGTACTGGCATTTTTTAGCCAGCACGTGATTCATCATATCGTTGGGGATATGAACATTGGCTTTGGTGTCCTCATAATCTCTTCTGTAGTTCAACTAAAGAATAATATTTTTTAAAGACAAAAAGAAGAAAGGAATTAAAGTGTGAATTATTCAGATTGATCTCTCTTAGAGTCTAATCTCTACCATAGATCAGTACCTTTAGAATAAACAAAGATTTAAAAAATTATACTTTAATATATTCTTCTTTTTCAGTTTCCCATCCTTTTATAATAGAGGGGTAGTTACCTTGTCGTTTTCTCCTTTTTCCAAACAGCTACCTCACTGTGTGTTTGGTAGTGGAGGAGGAAGGAAGGGGAGGAGGCCCATAGCTGTCAAAGGTACACAAGGCTAACTGGCAGGGGTGGGGACTCATTCCTCACACCCCATGCCCCTCTCAACCAAAGAACAGATTACAAACAGGCAGACTAATAGTACACTTAAGGGTACAAATCCTCCACTAAGGTGAGTTTTGCTTACCGCACTCCTCATCTTTTGGAAATCCAGACAGTGAACCACACCAGGGAACTCACTGATTTCTTTTCCAGCCAGATAATGACCCTTCTGCTTCTCATATGTCTCTTTGTATTTAAGCTGTGAAGTAGGTACAACATTGAGAATCACTGGGATTTTCTAACCAGCTTCCCAATCAAGAAAGACTCTGAAACCTATGAGAGGAAACAGTACTACTGACCTCACTGTTCACGTAGTCGGCATGCTTAGCTCCAACAATGGGAATATAGCGTTCATCCAAGGTATAGCCATAGGCCTTGGTTCCTTCCCATGCCCCTTTATACAGTATCTAGAACAAAGAAATGTGTGTCAACAAGTTTGTATTCAACTTCCTTCAGATATTGCTAAAAAGAAAATGGTAAAACCAAGGTAAAATATTTATGTTTAAAGGCAAAGCTTACGTCTTTATTTAGAGCCATGATCATGTCTACCTAAGAACAGGGCAGAGTCTTCTGGCTTATTGCAAATTAAATCTACAGACACTGAGGCATTTTATAACAGAGTTTAACTAAGTTCTAATAAAAGTGAAAAATAAATTTTCACATAGGGAGAGAATCACCAAAGATTGCTGTACCAAAGAGCTGGTACAGCACTTGTGACATTATTATCTATTTCTTTGGATGTCTGTCCCTCTCATTTGCATGGGCTTGTGAAGGAAGGACTTGTCTTTATTGAGCTTTAGCTCCTTAGTGCCTCCTACCGTCCCTGGCACATCACAGGAGCTCAAAAATACTGGCTGAACAGATACTACTTCTAATAAACAAGACTAGTTATTTCTAATAAACAAGACTACATACAATAAAAATAATAGATCTTATATGTTCAGTTGTTCACAAAATCAGCCAAGGATATGAATACTGACAAGAGCTTAAAATTAAGAACTGAGTTGTAAATTGCATAAAACTTACGGTACTATAGAGTTTTCCCATGTCTTTGGAGTGGGTGATATGTGGTGTATCTGGAGAAAATGTATATTTGCCCTTTATTTCTTTATTAAATGTTTCTTTATACTTTATCTAAGGAGAAAACAAGACAAAACAAAGCCTTTAGTTACTGTAAATGTGTATTTAAAGTTTCATGGGTTCTACCTAGCAAGATAATAATCAGTCTACATTTAGAGGTTAAAACTAACCAACTGGTTGAATTTCAGCTCATCTTTAGCTAATATAGCAGAAAAATTTGGACAAGAATACAGATATTATCTAAAAGTGAGTAGAGTATACATTCTACTAGTGACTTTTCAGACATTCCCACCAAAGATGATCTTACAGTTTCCCACCCCAATGTTCATTTTCTTACAAGCAGTTATCTGGAGTTACGCAAATGCATTCAATGGTGGACAGCTAACTCCCCAGTCCATGTACCTCATTATACACAAAGCAAACTTACATCACTTTGATTGACTGAATTAATCTTCGCCAAAACAATCTCTGGAGTATCCTCTATACTTTTAAAGTTAGGATAGTTGTCAAGAGCATCTTTCTTATATTTTATCTGCAAGGAAACAGAGATGATTAAGGCTGGGTACCTATCCCCACACAGCAGGCAAGGGAGTCAGGCATTAGGTGAGAAAAGGCTCTGCGTACCTGATTCACCATTTCCTGGTTCTTAGTAACCCTCACATAGTCCACAGAATCCAGGGGGATCCAGCCAATGCCACGGAGCCACTCCAGGTCAGCTTTGTACACATTCTGAGAGCAGGAAGAGAGACAATGCAGGTATAAATGACTCAGACATAGGATTACAGACAGCAGATCAGAAACAACTTTTTCAGGAGCTTTTAAGGATTTATGTCTCATGGCTCTTGTCTCATTGATTCCATCATGATTTCATCTGTTTACCTGGGGAATATTTCTTGAGCCTGTTACTATGAGTGAGGTGCTGTGTTAGGTGCTTTGAGGGATAAGTATATAAAGGAATCTAGTGTAAACAGAAGTCATTTACAAGGTGAAGGGTGGTAAGTGCTGTAAGAGCAGAAACATTCAAGTGCTGTGGGAATTACGGCCAGGAAGCCATTATTTTCAGCAGTGAGCCTAAGGAAAGGTTTTACCAAGGAGAGTATAATTTCAGATGGACTTGTATTTGGTATTTAGAAATATGTGGGACATTTACACTATACAAAGGAAATTACACAAGTAAGTGCTCGTGTATTATAGAGTAGGGGGACACATCCCTCTGGCCAAGCCTAGCTCTCCTCTCCCCCACTCAGTGCCTGGATTCTCTTGGGCCACCTCATACCAAAGGAGCTGCTAATCTGGTTAAAGGTCCACAATAGTCACTCTGTTGTAGCAACAATGAGGTGGGATGTTCAAATTCAGCACCTGTGCTACAGGTGGTCCTTCACTTCTTGATTCTGATTTGGTAATGAGAATATCAGGCAGGGTTAGCTCCAGGGTATACCCAAGCATCACTTCAATGCGCTGTGTTTCTATTCCTTACAGACTGTTGGTGGTAGCTAGAGGTCTTGACTCAGGCTTCGGTGTCAGATGGCCTATGTCATGTATTCTCTACCCTAGCATTACCAAAGCTGTGCAGGAGGGATTCTGGGCCCTCCTGTGCCTCATTAGTACTTTGTTTCCTTTTTGTTTTGATTCTTTGCAAGCAAGTCCTTCATAAATGCCTGAAGGAGTGAAATGCTCACAAAGCAAGAATGGGGTGTTCCCAGGTCCTTGATTACACGATCATCCAATATTGTTAAAATCCCAACTCACTCTCCAGTCTCACCCCAAGCCAATTGTTATTCTAAATCAACTGATAACTTTTCAGGCAGATGTGAGATGTTGCTGATGGCAAAGATGATACAAAAACAAATTTTTTTATTTGACTTTGAAAGTTATTCAGAAATGCATAGTCAAGGCAAAGCTGTCAATCACTGCCCACGGTCTTTCTCTACTTCATATCCAGCCTTATTTCCCTTCTGGGAACAAACTCAATATTTATGGCTCAAAGTTTCCAAGACTGGTGCATCCAGAGTGCTGCTTATAATTCTCAGAGTACACCATATATTTCTAGACAATTAAGAAACAAAATCACTTACATCACTCTGTAGGTCATAGGCCTTCCTTGCCTGGATAACATCATTTTGATCAGGATGACATATCCATTGGTGCAGGTAATTACGGTAATCAATATCACTGACAAGTTCCTGCCCATGCTTGGCGGCCAACACCGACACCATGTCAGCAGGTATATTGATTTTGGCCTTTGTTTTATGATAGTCTTCTTTGTATAGTCTGTCATTCTGAATCTGGCCTGCGTGCTCAAACCAAACCAGTTTAGGATCATCTCTCATTGTTGGAACACCAACATAATGACCTCTTTGTTTTACATGTTCAGCTTTGTATTTCAGCTGGCAGGAGAGAAAATAGAGATTCCATCAGTTATGACAAGCACTCAAGGCAAAGGGGGCTGGAAACATCAGCATTCAGCCCCTCAGCCTTTTGTCAACTGCCTCACTGAGACTAAATAACAAAAAGCAGTGAAATAAATAGATATGAAGAAACAGCAATTTAAAAATAGAAAAAAAATATTTGTTTTCTAATTCTGCCTATATTTTATTTGAAAGCTTAGAGATTTTAAGGAAGCGGGGGAATAGAAGAAACAGTAAAGCATGCAAACAACAGCTTTTAAAGAAGCCAAAAACAAACTCCCAAAGCCTACAGGAAGGACTAGAAAGGAGCAGATACTCCAACCATCCCTAAGCCCGGCCAGGCCTGCTAAGCCAAGGAACACTCCAACGTGCACTCACATAAGGATAAATTACCTCGCTCTGAACATCACTAGAGTGATGGGCATGGACAAATGGCACCGCATCCGGAGGCAAAATGTAACCTGTAGCTTTTTGCCTCTCCCAACCTTCCTTGTAGAGATACTAAAAGACAGAGAGCCACAACAGAAGCTTAAGTAAGGAGTCACAATGAGGGATTGGTCATGTACATACATCTCCCACAGTTATATTATGGTCCTTTGTCTCCACACAAAGTACCAGGCATCTGGCTAAAATCCATACCTGGTCCAGAATCCGGGCTGCCTCCTGGGCAGTGTGCAGCAAGGGGGTTTCTGTGAGGGTGTACTTTGATTTGGTATCATTCCAATCTTTCCGGTATTTAATCTGGAAATGAGAGGCAAGAGGGTAAGTTACTTGATGTTAAGAAAATATAATGTTGTCCAAGCAAATGCAAGCATCATCTCAATGACTACAATCTGTATCTCAGACAATGATTGCACGCTGAGCTTAAGTAGGTGGAAAGCTTTGGATATGACATTTCACGACTGGGCAATTTTAGAACGACAGCCATGTACTTACATCATTTAGGATCTCACCACTTTGTTTTGCAGTCACATAATCAACTCTGTCATCCACAGGAGTAAAGTTGAGAGTTTCTATTTTCGTGCGGTATTTTTTCTATGGGAAAGAAAATATCTTTCAAACAGTTGTAGTTTCTGGTCCCGTCTGAGCTGAGAAAGAGATACTAGACTTAAGGGTTCTTCTCTACTAGAAGTGTAGAGTGCTATATTTGAATGGCACCTTCTTGGCAATTTGGCCTTTTTTCGTAGTCTTTTATTTTTTAACAACTGAGTGGTTTCTCACACCTCCCACAGATTTCTAAAGTAGCAGGTTTGCTTAGTTATCAAAGTCATGTAATACAATACTCTGTGTATCATGACACTCAATGTGTTTTTTTTCAACTGTGTAAACTTCTCCCAAGTGCGGTGTCATTGCTGACAAAAGAAGTTTTCCATTTACACAATTCCAAGCATCAGTGAGTGTACTGGACATTATATTATGGATGTGGCCCCATGATGAGATAGGGACAGTAGAGGATTGTTTTGGGACAAGATATTTCTGGCTTAAATGACAGCAATTGCAGTTATTAACATTGCTGATGGGGCATGACTTCATTTTGGCTTGTGTAATTTTTTCCAGTCTCCCAGGAAATGCACTAAATGGCCAGGTAAAATCTTGGAATACCTCACTGAAGATATCTGCAGCATGTTTGGCATGATTGTCAGAAACGGAATCAGTCGGCATCCACCCGATCCCACGTAACCATTCCAAGTCAGCCTTGTAGACAGCCTGTGGGAACAGAGCCATGTGATTTCAGCAACTCTGGTCATATGGTCCTATTTATTCTATCTATTGATTTGATGGAAAAATACAATATAAAGATGACATACTCAAGCAGCTGGGAGGGTAACATAAGTAAATTCATTGGGAGGTCAGGAGGTATGAAAAACGGGAGACATTTTTCCATTTAAAGGGGGTTAGCTTCAATTTGTCTCCAGTTATTATTGCTAGGGCGTAATGCATGTCCAGGAATTTGTTCTCTGATTTTTCTAAAGAAGTAGGGAATCCTAGATTTGTACCCCAAATTTCCTGATTTAAAAAACCTTGGCAACTTAATTCAAGATTTTTAAACACTATATCAACTGAAAAAAAGCCTACCTGTGCCTACATCCTTTCCACAGACTGCCAACGTTGTACCTTTGTTGCTACATAAATTCCACAAATAATATTTTCACAGTAGTTGTCTTTATACAGTCACACTTAAGATTTATAGTCACACAACCATATATTCCTTAATACAAAATCTACATCTTTCACAGCTTTGATGATTTTTGACACCATACTATATGATGTAACTAAAACCAAATTCTTGGCTGTATAAAGACAGGAAGCAGTGATATAAAATTTAATGACAAACTTTCTGGGAGTCATGGCAAAATGAGAAAAGAGCTCATGCTAAAATGTAGTCCACTCACATCGCTTTGCAGTTGGTAGGCTTTCTTGGCCTGAATCACATCGTTCTGGTCAGGCATGCACGTCCACTCGTGTAGGTAATTGCGATAATCAATGTCGCTGACCAGAGTCTGGCATTTTTTAGAGTGCAAGATGGAAAGCATGTCTGCAGGGCTTTGGAACTTAGTCTTCCATTTGGCCCAGTGCAGCCGGTACTCTCTTTCATTCTGAATCTTGCCAGCGATGAGGGCCCACCGGATCTTGTTGTCATCCCTGGCTGTGAGGGTACCCACGTAGTGTCCCTTCTGCTTCTCATGGTCAAGCTTGTATTTATACTGGAGATGGAAAAACAAAGCAGATGGGTCACAGTATGTGCTCTTGATGCACCTAGGATGTTTGCTTAAAAACTGAGAAGTTAAACAAGGCCACACTTACGTCACTGGCAATCTCCCTGGAGGCCTTGGCAGCCTGGATAGGGATGGCATCCAGCCGCACATCGCAGCTCATCTTCATTTCATCCCAACCTTCGCGGTAAATTTTCTGAAGACGAGAAAAAAATAAGGTATCATTTTGGATTCAAATGTACCAATAACTTCAGCGGCTCAAGTAGAATTAATATCAGAGCAGTACAGTTTTGAAGTCCCAGAATAGGTTGAAAAGAGGATAGGTAAAAGAATAATTCCGCACCACGCTACTGGAATACAAAATTGTGTATGGAGTCCAAAGATCTGGGCTTGACAAGAGTTGTTTCTTTTTAATTTAAATCATGGCCTCTATGTAGTTATTCATAGTTTATATAATAGTGTTTA